TTGGCTATTCCTGCCTCAAACTGTTTCAGGGCGATTTGATCGCGGGCGATAAGCTCTGCTGTACGTTCTGCTCCCCGCTGTAGCTCCACAATGACAGACGCCACAGGATGACCAGGGTATCGGCTTGTAGCTACGGGCTAGGCCTTCAATTCAAGTCACGCAGCAAGCTCCACCTCTCAGCGGTAGTCCAGCTACAGCGCATCGCGCAATCTCGCTCTCAATCAGAAACTTCGCTCTCAATCACACGAAAACCTTGTTCTCTGCAGGAGCACTCGTAAAATGCTAGAGCCATCAGAAGATCTAAAGAACACACACACTATTAGCAAGAGAAGGGTACGCAAGCCCGAGGAGGTTCACCTGCAATCAATCCCTGCAGCACGTTTTCATGCTCACAACTGAACTACAGGCCCACACACTACAATTCGACTGCAGCAGCAGCATCACCCCCCTTGTCCCGCATTTGACCAAAATGAATGTTTATCGACTACAGCGTGCTGCTGTCTGAAGTGCTGTCGGTACAAAAATAACACCATGGTGCATGGTACACAAGCTCGGGGCATGCAGCTGCTGTCTGAAGTGCTGTCGGAATGAGTCCGTGGACATACAATGAAGAAGAACACCCAACCAAAGCCATCATTGCAATTGACAATCACCCGAATCTATCCAGATCATCTGTGTTAGGCACAGCAGTGTGAACATCGACACTGACTAGGAATCGTTCCGCATTGAAGGGGTCTTCCACGATACAGGTACACAATTAAGGCACCCGGGTTATCCGCGCCATCTCTGCCGCGTCTCCCTACAAAACCAGTGACGTCATGGCACACACCCAACACCTGTATTCAGGAAAAAGGCGGAGAAATAATTGACAACACAAGAGATGTTTGTCCGTGCGCCACGGTTCGATGCCGTCCGCCTGCTCCGGTGCCGCTGCTCTGGTGCCGCTGTGGTCAGTCCTAGCACGACCAACCTCGACCCGCTCCGCTTCGTACACGCTCTCGTTGCTGTCCATCCCAGTCGGTTCCTCGCTTTCTCCCTCGTTGCACTTAGGGTTTTTGGTCTAAAAATTCTCGCGCCGAAGGATCAACCAGCCCAGTCAGCTCGTCACCACCTGTCCCCTGCTCCTTTGATGGCAAAACCAGGTTACTGAGACAGTACAGCTCCCTCTAGCAAAGCTAGGGCCGTGTACATAATGCCTGTCCNCGTTGCTGTCCTTCCCAGTCGGTTCCTCGCTTTCTCCCTCGTTGCACTTAGGGTTTTTGGTCTAAAAATTCTCGCGCCGAAGGATCAACCAGCCCAGTCAGCTCGTCACCACCTGTCCCCTGCTCCTTTGATGGCAAAACCAGGTTACTGAGACAGTACAGCTCCCTCTAGCAAAGCTAGGGCCGTGTACATAATGCCTGTCCACCTTTCTGATGACGTCTGCCTCCGCGCACAAAGATGAGATGGGCATTGCTGCCTACACCGACGGCCTGGAGGCCCGCGCATCTGCACCTTTGTGCCTGACGCACCAGTGCCGACCCAACTCCACCACTAGCACGCCTCGCGGCGGGTGCACCGCAGCAAGAAGGTATCGGTCCCTTGAGGGTGAGTCTAGCCCTGCTTGCTACAAAGACCCCCCCACCCCCCCCCGCGGTATTTGCCATCGGGGTTGGGTTTTCGTCGCTTGGCAACGACGTTGTAAAACAAGCCGCCCCCCCCAGTGTTTGCCATCGGGATTGGGTTTTCGTCGCTTGGCAACGACGTTGTAAAACAAGCCGCCCCCCCCAGTGTTTGCCATCGGGATTGGGTTTTCGTCGCTTGGCAACGACGTTGTAAAACAAGCCGCCCCCCCCAGTGTTTGCCATCGGGATTGGGTTTTCGTCGCTTGGCAACGACGTTGTAAAACAAGCCGCCCCCCCCAGTGTTTGCCATCGGGATTGGGTTTTCGTCGCTTGGCAACGACGTTGTAAAACAAGCCAGTTCACTTCGTGAACTCGGCAACCAGGTTACCGTTTTTTTCTTTGTACCTCTGTTTTTACTTGGCGGTAACCATAATGGTGGTCGAGTAGATCATGTTGTGCGGGGTGGAGAACCCTCACTCCGCGCAAGGGGGATGATCGCACCACGTTGTGTTAAAATGGTCAAGCACCCTCGAGGCAGTTACACAGTGCTTACAACTGTCTCTGGAAGTGAAAGCACCAGAAAATAAATTAATTCATACGCAGCTGTCATCCGTACGCAAGGAAGTAAGCACAAGATGCCGAACACCCTTAGCAGGATGCAGCGCACCCTTCATGCGACTCGCCGAATATCTCACGGCGCTTCGCGCTTGGTGATGTGAGAGCCTGGTCCGGTGAGAACCCGGCGTGCTCCGTCCCGGCTTTGTAGGGATGCGAGGTCAATGGTCTAACGACTACGGCATGCACGACTATGAGTACACCCCCACTGCCCCCCCTCCTCGCTGAGGGTCATGCCTACGCAAAACCTTGCCGAGGCAGCGAGGGAAAGAAAGGGAGTTGTGTAAAGTAAGGGAGTTGAGGACTCCAGAATATCTGTCGTTGATTTCTATTGACTTGCGGACCCCTCGGGGCCATTTTCTTTGAGTGTACCTTTTTAGGGTAAGTTAGCCTGCGACAACGGGAATCGACCGCGTCGAGTGTTGTATCAGTACGGACATGCGAAGGTACTGGGTAGAGAGATATCGGAACGCTTTTTAATGTGGAGACAACAAAAACAACAATATCAAGGTCCGACTACGCTATATTCCGGCCACGGTGTGGTGGTTGTTTCTTCACAGAGCCTGTTTTACGTATGTACCGTATATATGACACATAATAACGCACCCCCTTGACNGTGTGGTGGTTGTTTCTTCACAGAGCCTGTTTTACGTATGTACCGTATATGACACAAAATAACGCACCCCCTTGATCGATTTTCGAAGCTCGATTTCTCAACAGCCGGAACAGTCACAGCGCCGAAACCGGCGGCGTTGAAACCGCCTCGTCGAGAGCTTTTCGAAAGTGTATCGTTTCGTATGNAGCCGGAACAGTCACAGCGCCGAAACCGGCGGCGTTGAAACCGCCTCGTCGAGAGCTTTTCGAAAATGTATCGTTTCGTATGTGCATCCTCTTCGTCGTCGAGTAATGGAGCTTTGAAAATCGGTCCAGGGGGTGTGTTATCTTGTGTCACATACAGTATGCGTATCTTCGGGCGTTGTTCTGTTTGTTTTCTTCGACTTGCCGCAGTTGCAGTCGCTATGCCTTCACCGCTCGGTCGGTGTGAAGCCAGAAGTTGCTATCCTTTAGTTGCTGTGCCCGGTCCGATACGACGGGTGCACGTCAGAAGTTGCGATCCTTCGCTTCGCAGGTTGTTAAACCCCCGCGTATGATGCCCCACCGAGGCGGAATTCGAAGTTGCTAGACATACGCCGCTGGTAGTGTCGTTAGGGCAAGTCAGAAAACAAATGTAATGTGCTTTGCCTGTACGACTTCTTACAGACCCCATCGGTGCAGAAGTCGAGTCGCTATACTCTACCAGCTCTGGCGAATGCAAGCTAGCCGCTGCTGCACTCCGCTTGCCGTGTTGCTGTACTCTCCGTTTACCACTCCCCCCCCGCCCCCACCGATGCGGTGGAGGAATCGAGTTGCTCTACTGTAGTGATGGATGCAAGCTAGCAAATGCAAGACTCCGCTTGCTGTCTTGCTATACACACCGTTTACAACCCTATCGGTGCAGAAATCGAGATGCTATACTCCACATGCGGTGACCGGTGACAAGCTGGCAGTTGCTACACTCCGCTTTCCGTGTTGCCTTACACCCCGTTTACGGCACGCCTATTCGATATACTCGTAGCATAGTATGATGATTGAGATGTTATGTACGTACGTACGAATATTGCAGTGATGAGATGCGGAGGAACAGGAACTTTCTACATATTTTCCTTGGTTGTGAGAGGCTTTTGGTGAGGATTCAGAGAGATTCGTTGTGTGAGAAAGCATGAAGGCGTGACTCGATACCGTGATGGTTTGACGAGCACGAGCACGCCCCCGATTAATACAACACGACAACACG